TCTCCCGCGCGCGGACCAGCGGCGGCAGCCGCGAGGGGTGGAGTGCGGCGCGGCAGCCGAGGAGGCGGCGGGGGAGGAGCCCCCCCCCCCCCCCCAGCCGGGCAAAGGAACGAGCCGCGGACGCGGGTCACGATTGCTGTAGGAGGCGCTCGAGGCGGACTCGCGACCAATCTCGCAGCGCAAGCGGCCGCGCTCCGCGGCGCTCGGCGCCGACCAGCTCGCGCGCGAGCCTCGAGCGTCCCCGCGTCTCGCTGCGGGTCACGGAGAAGATTCGGCGGTGGCAGCGCCGCCGCTCTCGGCGCCGCGCAGCGGCCACGCCTCGTCTGCACACCGCCTCCTGAGCAGACCACGTGGCCGCGCCCCGGCGGGCAAGGTCTGGTGTATGGAGGCAGGCGAGTACATCGACGAGACGGAGGCGGCAGCGGAGAAGGGGGCGGCGGCAGAGGAGGCGGTGGCAGAGGAGGCGGCGGCAGAGGAGGCGGCGGCAGAGGAGGCGGAGGCAGAGGAGGCGGAGGCTGTGGCGGAGGCTGCGGCGGGAGAGTCTTCGGTCCAGGCGGCGGTTGAAGCGGCAGTGGAGGAGGCAGTGGAGGAGGCGGCGGAAGTGGAGATGACGGAGACCGAAGCGGAGGCGGAGGCGGTTGCAGAGGCAGCGATGGCGGAGGAGCCGGCAGCGTCGGAGGTGGAGACGGCGTCTGCTGCATCGCGGCCGCCGACGCCGCGGACCGAGGGCGGCACGAATGCCCCGCGCACCAGCACGGCTTTCGCGGACATCACCTCCGAGACGATCGTCGCGCAGAGGCGCTTGGTGGCGCAGGCGCGGCTGACCCTCGAAGCTGACCTGAGGATGCTCGAGCGCTCGCCTCCGGTGTACCGCCCGCCCTCGAAGGACGTGTTTGCGGACAGCTTCGACTACGCGGGCGAGCAGGCGACGTCCTTTCGGCAGCACGTGGAAGAGGCAAAGCGGTTCCTCGAGGACCTCGAGGCGGCGCGCGAGCAAGCCAACAAGAGCCGCTCGAGCGCCAACGCGGCGCAGGCCGTCCTCGATCAGTTGCAGCAGGCTAAGGCCCACCAGGACCAGCGCCAGGCCAAGGAGGAGGAGGCGCGAACCACCTTCGCCACTCTGGCCGCGGCGAACGCCAAGGGCGACTACAGCGGCGCGCACAGCGCCGCGGTGGCGTACGCGGCGCTCGCCGAGGAGGTGAAGAACCTCAAGGACAACGAGTACGCCGCCAAGGAGCGCATCCTCGCGCGGGCGGTTTGACGCCAGCGACGCATCGCCCCTCTTTGCGATCCTTTCGGATGGGAGGGCGATTACTTGTCGCAACCAGGGAACGCAGCTCTGGCTGTCAGTCTGTCAGTCTGTCAGGTGGCGCAACTGGTCGCATGGCAGTCGCACACGTTACAGCGCGGCGCACAGCGGCAATATGGAGTCTGGCTTGAGCCTTGCGCAGCTAGAAGTAAGTTTGCAGCAGCTTGTGAGTTGTGTCTTGAGAGTCTTTTGCGTTGGCCGTGTGGGGATCTCGCATGTGTGAGAAGGCAGAGAAGGGAAAAGACGGGACAGCGGTGTGCTTATTCACGAAACATATGTATAGAAAAATGTACAAGTTTACAACTTTATCTTGGATTTTATGGATTATGGTCGTTTTAGCCGTCGGGCATCTGCAGGGCGACGACTGCCGCAGCGACAAGCCTTCTCAGTGCCTGCACCTCTTGCGAAGCACGTTGCCGCCGCGCCTCGTCAACGGGCGGCTCGAGGTCATGGGAGACATGCGCGAGGAGGCGCGACACTTTGCACTCGAGCAGCGACACGAGCACCGCGCGCTCGCGCTGCTGCGCCTCGCGCGCAGCCGCCGCCTTCTCGCGCTCGACGCGCAGTGCCTCGCCCTGGACCGCCGCGGCGTCGTGCGCCGCAGCGAGGCCCGCGCGCATGGTCTCCACCTCGTCTTCGGCGGAAGCGGCCGTCTCGCTCGCCGCCTGGAGCTGCCGCTGCGCCGCCTCTAGCTCCACCTCGAGCCTAGGACAGCGCGCAGCACCGCCGTCACACCTCGGACCATTATGCTGGGTGTCGAACGGCGCTCCCCGCGGAGACGCCTGCGAGACGTCTCGGAGATGCCCCCCCAGCCTTCCTGGGGCTCGGTCAGCTCGAGGGGCGTGCCAGTCGGCCCGACGGCCGCAAGCGAGCGGCGCGCCAGCGGCGTGGTGCCGGTGCCGCCGCCGGTGCCGCCGGTTCCGCTCGACCCGTCGCTCGAGTGGCGGTGCGCCGGTGCAAGAGCCGCCAGGCCGGTGCCGGCGCCACTCGACCCGTCGCTGGAGCAGCGCGAGAGGCTCCCGAGCGGCTTCGCCGCTGCCCCGTCGTCCGCCCCCTCTCTCGCGAGAAGGGGTGTTGCCGCCTCGGCCGCCGCCTCGGCCGCCGCCTCGGCCGCCGCCTCCCTCCTCTCCACCTGCAGCCGCTGCGTGTGGATCAGCTGCGCCGTCTTTCGGTCGAGTGCGTCCTCCAGCTCGGACAAGCGCCGCTGCCGCGCCGTCGCCTCCTCACGCAACCGCACGAGGGCGGCGTCCTAGGAGACGCACCCCATGGTTGATCAGGCTGCGGAGTAGGCCGAATTAGGGGAGGAGGGCCGGTGGCCAGTAGTGGGCGGGCGGGCGGGAGGGCGGGCGGGCGGGTGGGAAGGCGTTCGGGCGTGCGTGCGGGCGGGCGGGGGGCGGGGAGGGAGGTATCCCTCTCGGCGACGATGCGCTGCAGCTCTGCGACGGTCTCCGCCATCTCGTCGACCTGTAGTTGGCGAGATCAGCCGAGATCAGCCGAGATCAGCCGAAATTGGGGGTGTATAGCGCGCTACTGCCGCCGCTGCGCCCGAGATCACGCCGAGAGACATACGAGATCGCCCGAGATCTCGACTCTCTCCTCTCGTCCACCTGCCCCGCAGCCTCCCCCTCGCCCTCAACCAACGCCTCGTGCTCATCCTCCATGCGCGCAATCTGCTCTGCCAGCAGCGCGTTTGCCGCCTTCTCCTGGAGTACTTCGCGCGAGCGCGCCTCGAGCTGCCGCAGCGCGCTCAGCCGCTCCGCCTCCGCACGTCGCCGCTCCGCCTCCGCTCGCTCCACTTGCGCCTCGGCGCGCTCTCGCTCCGCGAAAGCCTGCTGCCGCTCCGCCTCGGCCTGCACGAACCTGCAGACATGTCGTGGACATGTCGTGGACGCGGCCCGGGGCATGCGCACGTCGCCTCGGCCTGCACTAGGAACCTTCTAGGAACCTTCTAGGAACCTTCTACGACGCGGCCCGGGGCTGCGCATATCGCCTCGGCCTGCACGGACCTGCGCGAGTCGCCGACTGACTGCTCGCGCTCGACGAGCACCTAGAAGGTTCCAGAAGGTTCCTAGAACTTCCTGAAGGCTCCTAGAAGGTTCCTAGAGAGGACCGGGCCGTGCAGCCCTCTGGGCTGATCTGGGCGGACCTCGGGTCATCTCGAGACGCGGCTGGAGGGAGGGAGAGAGTAGAGAGGGAGGGAGGGAGAGAGGGGGGAGCACCGCGCGCAGCCGCGTCAGCTCGACCTCCAGCGACTGGAGCTTGGTGCGCCTACGTGCGGAAGACGCCGGCCTCAGGGCGGGAGGACGGTCTCGTGCCGTGTCTTCAAACACACCGCGTGAGAACACACGGGCTACGAAGACAGTGGAGTGCGTGTCCTCTCGAGCGCTAGTCGGAGGACAAGAAGACGTCTTCCGCTTCTAGGGCCGCGAGCCGCAGCACGCATCTCCCCCATATCTCCCCCATATCTCCCCCATATCTCTCCGCTTCTAGGGCGGTGCGCTGGTCGATCTGCTCGTTGATCCGCGCAGAGTTGTGGACGTGCCTCGCCCGCGACGCGAACTTGAGCGTGCTCACCGTCTCGGCCATCGACGCGGCGGCGACGCACGCGATCATCGTCGTCTTGCAGTTCCCGCCGAGCGAGTCTGCCAGCAAGCGCGTCAGCTTCGAGTCGCGGTACGGCACGTGTCTCGCCTAGAAGGCCCCAGAAGGCTCCTAGAAGGTTCCTAGAAGCTTCGAGTCGCGGTACGGCACGTGTCTCGCCTAGAAGGCCCCAGAAGGCTCCTAGAAGGTTCCTAGAAGCTTCGAGTCGCGGTACGGCACGTGTCTCGCCTAGAAGGCCCCAGAAGGCTCCTAGAAGGTTCCTAGAAGCTTCGAGTCGCGGTACGGCACGTGTCTCGCCTAGAAGGCCCCAGAAGGCTCCTAGAAGGTTCCTAGAAGCTTCGAGTCGCGGTACGGCACGTGTCTCGCCGTTCCCGAGGTGAGAGCGGCGACGACATTTCCGAGCGCCGCGAGCGAGCCGTTGATGTACTTGCACTCCTCGAGCCGCTGCCCGGAGGCGCCCGAGACGCGGAGCCGCTCGGAGCCCGCGAGGTCGACCAGGTTGAGCTTGGAC